AATTATTATTCTTATCCTCATTATTATTACTGTTCAGCCAACACCCGCCCTCTCCAATCACATCAACGCCATCAACCAGGAGTGTCTTTGATTCATTTATTGTTTTCGTCTCATCCAACATTACTTGGCTTGACTTGATTGGCTTCAATGCGATTGCAATCGCTTGTCTCCCCGTCAACATTCAGCCAGGGAGCCAGCCAGCCAGCCAGCCAGTGTGATGGCCATCATTATGCATCAACCACCAGCCACTCAACTCCGCCTACCACACACAACACAAAACACTTACGAATCACGTAAACTAACCAGCTCTCAAACAGAGACAACAAACATACAACAACACACGCACGCACACACACGGCACTGACACAGACACAGACACACAATCACACAGACCACTGATCCCACAATCAACCCAAAGTCAAATCTCAATACATAAATGCAAGGCTGCATCGCTCACCCACTCAATCTCTCTGGCTATCTCTCACTACCTCCCTCTCTCCCTTCCTCCACAGAAACACAACCAGTCACAGATGAGTCAGAAAGCACTCAGTCGGATGGAACTGATCAACAGTTGACTACCACGCCTCAATTCGAGTCAACAACACCAGGTCAGTCAATTCATTACGCTTGCTTATTATTCTTATTCTTATTCCAATTATTATTCTGATCCTCATTATTATTACTGTTCAGCCAACACCCGCCCTCTCCAATCACATCAACGCCATCAACCAGGAGTGTCTTTGATTCATTTATTGTTTTCGTCTCATCCAACATTACTTGGCTTGACTTGATTGGCTTGAATGCGATTGCAATCGTTTGTCTCCCAGTCAACATTCAGCCAGGGAGCCAGCCAGCCAGCCAGCCAGTGTGATGGCCATCATTATGCATCAACCACCAGCCACTCAACTCCGCCGACCACACACAACACAAAACACCTACGAATCACCCAAACTAACCAACTGTCAGACACACACACACAGATAGAGACACAGACACACAATCACACAGACCACTGATCCCACAATCAACCTAAAGTCAAATCTCAATACATAAATGCAAGGCTGCATCGCTCACCCACTCAATCTCTCTGGCTATCTCTCACTACCTCCCTCTCTCCCTCCCTCCACAGAAACACAACCAGTCACAGATGAGTCAGAAAGCACTCAGTCGGATGGAACTGATCAACAGTTGACTACCACGCCTCAATTCGAGTCAACAACACCAGGTCAGTCAATTCATTATGCTTGCTTATTATTCTTATTCTTATTCCAATTATTATTCTTATTCTCATTATTATTACTGTTCAGCCAACACCCGCCCTCTCCAATCACATCAACGCCATCAACCAGGAGTGTCTTTGATTCATTTATTGTTTTCGTCTCATCCAACATTACTTGGCTTGACTTGATTGGCTTGAATGCGATTGCAATCGCTTGTCTCCCCGTCAACATTCAGTCAGGGAGCCAGCCAGCCAGCCAGCCAGTGTGATGGCCATCATTATGCATCAACCAACAGCCACTCAAGTCCGTCAACAAAACAAAACAAAAAACACCTACGAATCACTTAAAAGAACCAGCTCTCAAACAGAGAGACAGACAAACACAGAGACAACAACACGCACGCACACACACCGACACTGACACAGACACAGACACACAATCACACAGACCACTGATCCCACAATCAACCCAAAGTCAAATCTCAATACATAAATGCAAGGCTGCATCGCTCACCCACTCAATCTCTCTGGCTATCTCTCACTACCTCCCTCTCTCCCTCCCTCCACAGAAACACAACCAGTCACAGATGAGTCAGAAAGCACTCAGTCGGATGGAACTGATCAACAGTTGACTACCACGCCTCAATTCGAGTCAACAACACCAGGTCAGTCAATTCATTATGCTTGCTTATTATTCTTATTCTTATTCCAATTATTATTCTTATTCTCATTATTATTACTGTTCAGCCAACACCCGCCCTCTCCAATCACATCAACGCCATCAACCAGGAGTGTCTTTGATTCATTTATTGTTTTCGTCTCATCCAACATTACTTGGCTTGACTTGATTGGCTTGAATGCGATTGCAATCGCTTGTCTCCCCGTCAACATTCAGCCAGGGAGCCAGCCAGCCAGCCAGCCAGTGTGATGGCCATCATTATGCATCAACCACCAGCCACACAACTCCGCCGACCACACACAACACAAAACACCTACGAATCACCCAAGCTAACCAACTGTCAGTCACACACACACAGACTGAGACAAAGACACACAATCACACAGACCACTGATCCCACAATCAACCTAAAGTCAAATCTCAATACATAAATGCAAGGCTGCATCGCTCACCCACTCAATCTCTCTGGCTATCTCTCACTACCTCCCTCTCTCCCTCCCTCCACAGAAACACAACCAGTCACAGATGAGTCAGAAAGCACTCAGTCGGATGGAACTGATCAACAGTTGACTACCACGCCTCAATTCGAGTCAACAACACCAGGTCAGTCAATTCATTATGCTTGCTTATTATTCTTATTCTTATTCCAATTATTATTCTTATCCTCATTATTATTACTGTTCAGCCAACACCCGCCCTCTCCAATCACATCAACGCCATCAACCAGGAGTGTCTTTGATTCATTTATTGTTTTCGTCTCATCCAACATTACTTCGCTTGACTTGATTGGCTTGAATGCGATTGCAATCGCTTGTCTCCCCGTCAACATTCAGCCAGGGAGCCAGCCAGCCAGTGTGATGGCCATCATTATGCATCAACCAGCAGCCAATCAAATCCACAGACCACACACAACACAAAACACCTACGAATCAAGCAATCTACCAATCTGTCAGACAGACACACACACACACACTCACCAACACAAGCACAAACACACTGACACTGACACAGACACAGACACACAATCACACAGACCACTGATCCCACAATCAACCCAAAGTCAAATCTCAATACATAAATGCAAGGCTGCATCGCTCACCCACTCAATCTCTCTGGCTATCTCTCACTACCTCCCTCTCTCCCTCCCTCCACAGAAACACAACCAGTCACAGATGAGTCAGAAAGCACTCAGTCGGATGGAACTGATCAACAGTTGACTACCACGCCTCAATTCGAGTCAACAACACCAGGTCAGTCAATTCATTATGCTTGCTTATTATTCTTATTCTTATTCCAATTATTATTCTTATCCTCATTATTATTACTGTTCAGCCAACACCCGCCCTCTCCAATCACATCAACGCCATCAACCAGGAGTGTCTTTGATTCATTTATTGTTTTCGTCTCATGCAACATTACTTGGCTTGACTTGATTGGCTTGAATGCGATTGCAACCGCTTGTCTCCCCGTCAACATTCAGCCAGGGAGCCAGCCAGCCAGCCAGCCAGCCAGTGTGATGGCCATCATTATGCATCAACCACCAGCCACTCAACTCCGCCGACCACACACAACACAAAACACCTACGAATCACCCAAACTAACCAACTGTCAGACACACACACACAGACAGAGACACACAATCACACAGACCACTGATCCCACAATCAACCTAAAGTCAAATCTCAATACATAAATGCAAGGCTGCATCGCTCACCCACTCAATCTCTCTGGCTATCTCTCACTACCTCCCTCTCTCCCTCCCTCCACAGAAACACAACCAGTCACAGATGAGTCAGAAAGCACTCAGTCGGATGGAACTGATCAACAGTTGACTACCACGCCTCAATTCGAGTCAACAACACCAGGTCAGTCAATTCATTATGCTTGCTTATTATTCTTATTCTTATTCCAATTATTATTCTTATTCTCATTATTATTACTGTTCAGCCAACACCCGCCCTCTCCAATCACATCAACGCCATCAACCAGGAGTGTCTTTGATTCATTTATTGTTTTCGTCTCATCCAACATTACTTGGCTTGACTTGATTGGCTTGAATGCGATTGCAATCGTTTGTCTCCCAGTCAACATTCAGCCAGGGAGCCAGCCAGCCAGCCAGCCAGTGTGATGGCCATCATTATGCATCAACCACCAGCCACACAACTCCGCCGACCACACACAACACAAAACACCTACGAATCACGCAAAATAACCAGCTCTCAAACAGAGAGACAGACAAACACACAGACACAGACACACAATCACACAGTCGACTGATCCCACAATCAACCCAAAGTCAAATCTCAATACATAAATGCAAGGCTGCATCGCTCACCCACTCAATCTCTCTGGCTATCTCTCACTACCTCCCTCTCTCCCTCCCTCCACAGAAACACAACCAGTCACAGATGAGTCAGAAAGCACTCAGTCGGATGGAACTGATCAACAGTTGACTACCACGCCTCAATTCGAGTCAACAACACCAGGTCAGTCAATTCATTATGCTTGCTTATTATTCTTATTCTTATTCCAATTATTATTCTTATTCTCATTATTATTACTGTTCAGCCAACACCCGCCCTCTCCAATCACATCAACGCCATCAACCAGGAGTGTCTTTGATTCATTTATTGTTTTCGTCTCATCCAACATTACTTGGCTTGACTTGATTGGCTTGAATGCGATTGCAATCGTTTGTCTCCCAGTCAACATTCAGCCAGGGAGCCAGCCAGCCAGCCAGCCAGTGTGATGGCCATCATTATGCATCAACCACCAGCCACACAACTCCGCCGACCACACACAACACAAAACACCTAAGAATCACCCAAATTACAAAGCTGACAGACAGAAACATACACACACCAAAACACACACACACACACACTGACACAGACACACATTCACACAGACCACTGATCCCACAATCAACCCAAAGTCAAATCTCAATACATAAATGCAAGGCTGCATCGCTCACCCACTCAATCTCTCTGGCTATCTCTCACTACCTCCCTCTCTCCCTCCCTCCACAGAAACACAACCAGTCACAGATGAGTCAGAAAGCACTCAGTCGGATGGAACTGATCAACAGTTGACTACCACGCCTCAATTCGAGTCAACAACACCAGGTCAGTCAATTCATTATGCTTGCTTATTATTCTTATTCTTATTCCAATTATTATTCTTATTCTCATTATTATTACTGTTCAGCCAACACCCGCCCTCTCCAATCACATCAACGCCATCAACCAGGAGTGTCTTTGATTCATTTATTGTTTTCGTCTCATCCAACATTACTTGGCTTGACTTGATTGGCTTCAATGCGATTGCAATCGTTTGTCTCCCAGTCAACATTCAGCCAGGGAGCCAGCCAGCCAGCCAGCCAGTGTGATGGCCATCATTATGCATCAACCACCAGCCACACAACTCCGCCGACCACACACAACACAAAACACCTACGAATCACGCAAAATAACCAGCTCTCAAACAGAGAGACAGACAAACACACAGACACAGACACACAATCACACAGTCGACTGATCCCACAATCAACCCAAAGTCAAATCTCAATACATAAATGCAAGGCTGCATCGCTCACCCACTCAATCTCTCTGGCTATCTCTCACTACCTCCCTCTCTCCCTCCCTCCACAGAAACACAACCAGTCACAGATGAGTCAGAAAGCACTCAGTCGGATGGAACTGATCAACAGTTGACTACCACGCCTCAATTCGAGTCAACAACACCAGGTCAGTCAATTCATTATGCTTGCTTATTATTCTTATTCTTATTCCAATTATTATTCTTATTCTCATTATTATTACTGTTCAGCCAACAACCGCCCTCTCCAATCACATCAACGCCATCAACCAGGAGTGTCTTTGATTCATTTATTGTTTTCGTCTCATCCAACATTACTTGGCTTGACTTGATTGGCTTGAATGCGATTGCAATCGCTAGTCTCCCGTCAACATTCAGCCAGGGAGCCAGCCAGCCAGCCAGCCAGTGTGATGGCCATCATTATGCATCAACCACCAGCCACTCAAGTCCGTCGACAACACAAAACACAAAACACTTACGAATCACGCAAAATACCAACTATCAGAAAGAGAGACAGACAAACCCACAGACACCAACACACGCACGCAAACGCACACCGACACTGACACAGACACAGACACACGATCACACAGACCACTGATCCCACAATCAACCTAAAGTCAAATCTCAATACATAAATGCAAGGCTGCATCGCTCACCCACTCAATCTCTCTGGCTATCTCTCACTACCTCCCTCTCTCCCTCCCTCCACAGAAACACAACCAGTCACAGATAAGTCAGAAAGCACTCAGTCGGATGGAACTGATCAACAGTTGACTACCACGCCTCAATTCGAGTCAACAACACCAGGTCAGTCAATTCATTATGCTTGCACATTATTCTTATTCTTATTCCAATTATTATTCTTATTCTCATTATTATTACTGTTCAGCCAACACCCGCCCTCTCCAATCACATCAACGCCATCAACCAGGAGTGTCTTTGATTCATTTATTGTTTTCGTCTCATCCAACATTACTTCGCTTGACTTGATTGGCTTGAATGCGATTGCAATCGTTTGTCTCCCCGTCAACATTCAGCCAGGGAGCCAGCCAGCCAGCCAGTGTGATGGCCATCATTATGCATCAACCACCAGCCACACAACTCCGCCGACCACACACAACACAAAACACCTAAGAATCACCCAAATTACAAAGCTGACAGACAGAAACATACACACACCAAAACACACACACACACACTGACACTGACACAGACACAGACACACAATCACAAAGACGACTGATCCCACAATCAACCCAAAGTCAAATCTCAATACATAAATGCAAGGCTGCATCGCTCACCCACTCAATCTCTCTGGCTATCTCTCACTACCTCCCTCTCTCCCTCCCTCCACAGAAACACAACCAGTCACAGATGAGTCAGAAAGCACTCAGTCAGATGGAACTGATCAACAGTTGACTACCACGCCTCAATTCGAGTCAACAACACCAGGTCAGTCAATTCATTATGCTTGCTTATTATTCTTATTCTTATTCCAATTATTATTCTTATCCTCATTATTATTACTGTTCAGCCAACACCCGCCCTCTCCAATCACATCAACGCCATCAACCAGGAGTGTCTTTGATTCATTTATTGTTTTCGTCTCATCCAACATTACTTGGCTTGACTTGATTGGCTTCAATGCGATTGCAATCGCTTGTCTCCCCGTCAACATTCAGCCAGGGAGCCAGCCAGCCAGCCAGCCAGCCAGTGTGATGGCCATCATTATGCATCCACCACCAGCCACTCAAGTACGCCGACCACACACAACACAAAACACCTACGAATCACCCAAACTAACCAGCTGTCAGACACACAAACACACACACACACACCAACACACGCACACGCACACACACACTGACACTGACACAGACACAGACACACAATCACACAGACCACTGATCCCACAATCAACCCAAAGTCAAATCTCAATACATAAATGCAAGGCTGCATCGCTCACCCACTCAATCTCTCTGGCTATCTCTCACTACCTCCCTCTCTCCCTCACACAACCAACTCTTAATCCAGTGTTTTCATTCACTCACAATTTCATTGATTTTCGCATAGGATAATGGGCATTGAGTTCCTGTTCTTTTTTCGGCTATTTTCTTTGCGTATATTTTGGCTACGCTTGTACTTTTGATTGTTGTTATCCGGACATCATTAATTTGTGCGTATCTTTTATTGATCTATGTAACGTTGAGGTTCATTAATAATTTTTTTGGCTAGAGATTTTTGAAGTGTTTATCTTGCCGACATCAATCTTTTGTATATTTTTGTCTTCGCTTAAAATATCTACTTTATCCATATGTCGTACTCTTGTGAATAAGACGATACGTCAAATGATATCGTGAATGTTTATATCGGTTATACTTTCAACAATTTGAGGAGTATCCTTTATATTCTGTTTCCTCAACTCAAATTTTTGAGTCTGTAATTTGTTTGACTTACCATTTATCTGTGAATCCGTAGGGTGAATTTAACCTATCTAATACTGGTCGAAGTGTGGTACACTATTTTTGTACACTTTAAGCGAACCATGTTTTCTTTCTGTGAACGTTCCAGCGGGTTTCATTGATGCCTACTTACTCTGTCATATAATCCCGTGGTGTTTTTGAGTTTTCTCAATGCTTCCGCTAACTATTTTTTTCATCTTATTATTCGGATTCAGAGCAAAGAAGAATTTTCTGAGTTTTAGCCTATGAATAAAGAATAGTATTCATCTTCGTGAAGTAATCCACTTTGTCCATGATAACCACTCCATGAATCTTTATCTGGTGTTGGTATTATTATTTAATCATTTTTATGGAAAATATCTAGAGCTTCTCTTTGTTTTTTGGTCAAAATACCATACACGTTGCTTTTGCTATTCATATAATTAGAGCAGCATTCTACTAGAGATGATTTAAGTCTTTGAAAATCTTAAGTTGACGAGGGTGTTAAAATTTGAGATTGAGTGTGGAGACTTGTACATTTATTTTATTGATTTTAACGTGGCTGTCAAAAAATTCAGCGCCAAGCGATACAACTTTTAGATCCACTTTATTAAAGACTACATCCAAAAGAGTATACATAAAACGACTTGAGTTCGGAGGAAATCTTGTTTCAGGTGCCTTGTTCTTCAGACTACATAACTGCTTCGTGCATTTCTTTTCTTTCTATTTACTCATAATTTCATCCACATAATTTAAGAAAACGTTCCTTTAGGTATTCGCGTAGTTCATTGACAGCACAGAAACGTTCTGTGATGTTCTTCGATAACTTAGTAATACATGTTTGAACTGAGTCATTCAGATTATGTGCATGACATTTGAGTGTCTCACCATCATACCAAACTCTGTGATGGTATTGAGATTTTTTTCAATAAGATTTAGGATACCGGTTTGTTTCAATACACTGGAGGATCAAGTCAACAGTAGTCTTTACTTTGCTGAGGCTTTTAGTGTACTTCAAATACTTGTTGAATACTTTTAATGCAAAATGCTGCTCAGAAGATTTTAATGTAGAGAAAATATTCATTCAAACGTCTATCATTAATTTCGTATTGACCAAATCCTTGAGTGTGCTTGATTCTATCGATGTGCATTATGATTTTAAACGTCTATGACTGATTTTTATTATGCAACTATAAAGCCTAAATGAGAATTTACCGAAAATGCATATTCGCCCACTTAAATCATGTACTAAAAGAAAAGGAGTAAATATGACCAAGAAGAATAATATTTTTGCATTAAAAGCCTAAATTTTGAGATGAACGAACAATTATTTATCATGGTCACATACATCAATATTTAGTACATTTGAGGTAATGTCATCCAGTTTCCTGTCTGGCCAAGCAATCTATCAACGCAGACTTCGACCCCGCAATAAAATCAGAAGTCCTGAATGCAATCAAGATGCTAAAAGCTGGAAAAGCACCATGACTTAGATATGACAGAGAAGATGTGTAGCTCAGAAGGATGATTTTGATGTGGTTTTGTTCTTTGAGCTGGATGGTTAATTTGCGAAGCTTTCATCAGCCTACTGGGTGACATCTTCAGCGCATACTTCAAGCACCAGGACCAGATGGAATCCCAGCACGACCGTTGAAGATGGACCTAGAGGCAACAGCGGACTTGATGACGCCATTGCTGGAAAAGGTGTGGAAAGAGGGCAAAGTACCTGAGGATTGGAAGAAAGGATACTTATTCAAACTACCAAAGAAAGATACTTAGGTCAATGCGAAAACTGGCACGGAATTATGCTCCTGTCCATCCCGAGCAAAATACTAAGCCACATCATCCTGGAGAGAATCAAACAAGCCAACCTGGATGAAAACCTTCGACGGGAACAAGCTGGATTCAGGCGAAACAAGTAATGTATTGATCAAATCGCCATACTACGAATCATCATTGAACAAAGCTTGGAATGGCAGTCACCTCTCTATCTCCCTCATCTTCATCGACTTTGAAAAGGCCTTCGACAGCGTCGATCGAGAGGTCATTTGGCAGCTACTTCGATACTACGGAGTCCCATCGGCAATTAAACATCTCATCCAACAATTATACGACAATGCTGCATGCCAAGTAATCCACAACGGGAAACTTACGGAAGCCTTCGAACTGAGGACGGGAGTGAGACAAGGCTGTCTACTATCACCAATGATCTTCTTGATTGCAGTAGATTCGATAATGCGTCAGACAGAGTCAGGTAATGAGGAAACAGGCGCAAAATGGACTCACACAAAAAACTTGGAGGATCTAGACTTCGCCAATGATAAATGTCTGATTTCCCACAAACTGGAAGATATGCAAGTGTAAAGCAACAAGCTTGCAGAAGAACAGGTGAATATAGATAAAACAGAGGTGATGAAGTTTCCTGGCCAACAACAACAGCAACAAAAACAACAGACAACAGTCAGCATAAGTGGGGGGAAGCTGAAAGAAACAACCGCCTTTACCTACGTGGGAAACATCGTTTCAACTACAGGCGAACGGAACAGACGAGGATATCAAAGCAAGGATCGGGAAAGCAAGGCAAGCTTTCATTACTCTCAAGTCTGTTTGGTGATCAACAACACTTAGCATCAAAAATAAGATCCCGATTTTCAACTTTATTGTGAAGTCAGTCAGTGCTACTATACGGATCAGAGACTTGACTAGCGCGTCATAAAAGAGCGCCTTAAACAAACTTCAGACTTTCATTAACAGTTTTCTTTACTCGATACTCAAGATCAGATGGCCTAGAAGGATCAGCAATAAGGATCTCTGAGAGCAGACCAAACAGGAACCGATTGTAAAACAAATAGTCAGGAAGAAATGGAGATGGATTGGCCATACTCTGAGGAAACCATTAAGTGCCATCACTAAACAACCCCTTGAGTGAAACCCGACAGAATGGGAAGCGTCGAGTTGGTCGTCAGTGCAAGGCTGACTAGGAGGAGGTCATGTGAGGAGGAGATGAAAGCATGTGGACAGACTTGGAGCGGGTGAAAAAGTTGGCAGAAAACTGAAGGCAATGGAGATGCGCAGCTGAAGCCCTATGTTCCTCTAGGAATTGAAGGATATAATAATAAATAATTATAGTTATAATAACTGAATATTTTGATGTGGTTTTGTTCTCTGAGCTGGATAGTTAGTTTGCGAAGCTTTCATCACCTTACTGGGTGACATCTTCAGCGCATACTTCAAATTGAAGTGAGCTTTTAGGTTTCTCCACGAGTTTATTAATCATTCCTCCTGGTGACCTTGGACGTGATTGGTTGTTTATGTATGTTTTCACACCTTCTAGGTTACTTGTGTTGGAACTGATTGTTTCTGTGACTTGAACTTTGGCCAATCGTGTGTGAAGTTTCTTTCTTATTGGTTGATAAATTTTGTCTATCTCGATGTGTCTATTGATTGATGATTCACTGGAATGCCAAGCTTCTAAAAATTCTCTAGCATTCTTGTTATTTCCTTTGTCTAATATTTGAACGTTGTCCCAGTCGAATTGATGTCCGTGGTTGTCTGTGTGTAGTGAAATGAGGGAGTGTATATCATGTCTTTTGACGGCTAGCTTATGTTCGTGGATACGAAGACGAAGGGGACGTCCACTTTGGCCAATGTAGTGTTTTTCACAGTTGTTACAGTTTATTTTGTAGATGATGTTGGTTTTGTCTTCTTTTGCTGTTGAGTCTTTTGGTTGACATAGAATTGAGTGCAGCGACTTTGTTGGTTTGTGTACGACGTCAATTCCTAAAGGTTTGAAGAGTCTTTTAGTGATTTCTGAGATATCCTTTATATATGGTAAGGCGATTTTCTTTGTGTTTTCCTTGGTGGCTTTTGTTTTGGTAGGTTGGCTTGGGGGTATATGTCTCTTGATGAAATTCCGGGGATATCCATTCTTTTGGAAGACGTCCATGAGATACTTTTCTTCAATTTTTCTTAAGGTGGGAGTGCTGCAGTGAGTCCTTGCTCTCTTGAATAGTGTTTGTATGCAGTTCCTTTTGTGTGCTATTGGGTTGTTGCTGTTGTAATTCAGTATTTGGTCTGTGTGAGTTGATTTCCTATAAACTTGAGTTTCTAATTCTCCTGTAGTTGTTCGCCTGACTAAGACGTCCAAAAATGGTATTTTGTTCTCGGATTCCTCTTCTCTTGTGAATTTGATGTCGTTGAAGACGTTGTTTATTAAGTTGTGAGTTTTGTCTAATTCGTTTCTTTTGATTATTACAAATGTGTCGTCGACGTAGCGTATCCAAATCTTGGGTTTGATCTTTGGTAGAATTATGTTTTCGAGTCTTTGCATCACTGCTTCTGCAATCAAACCTGATATTGGCGATCCCATGGGTGTTCCTTTGACTTGTTCATATATTTGGCCGTTGAATTGGAAGTATGTTGTTAGGCATAGATTTATGCATTCCATCCAGCTTGTGTGTTGCATTTTTGATTGTTGTGGAAGTTGTTCGTCGTTGCTAAGTAATTGCTCCATGGTTTCTTTTGCTAGTTTTTGTCCGATAGAGGTATATAATGCTGTCACGTCGAAGGATACCATTATTTCTTGTTCATCTATTTGGATGTCTCTGATTTTCTCTAGGAATTGGATAGCAGAGTTGATGGAGTGATCACAGGATTCCGTTAGGTGTTTTAGTTTTCTGTATAATTCCTTGGACAAATTATATGTTGGAGTTCCTGGGAGTGATACAATTGGTCGTAACGGGATATTTGCCTTGTGTATTTTGGGTCTGCCGTAGAATCGAGGTAGGACTGGTCCATTGGATTTCATTCGCCATTGGTCTTGTTTTGTGATCTGTCCAGTTTTGCTGAGCTTGTTTAAGGTCCTTTGGATGCGGTTGTCCAATGTTTGTATGGGATTTGTTGGGAGTTGTTGATATACATCTTCATCTTTGAGTAGTTCTTCAGCTTTCTTGGTGTATTCTTCTCTGTCCATGACTACTGTTGTTCTTCCTTTGTCGGCTGGTAAAATGACGATGTCCTTCCTATTTTTCAGCTTTTTGAGGGCCTTTAGTTCTTGAGAGTTGAGTTGTGTGTGTTGTCTTTTCTGTTTGACCATTGGTACAATTGTTTGGCGTATCTCTTCCTGTGTTTCCTCGTTCAAGTTTGATGATTTGAGTAATGATTCAAGGCAGCGAAGAAATCAGTTTTTGAAGCATCTCCGGTGTTGTAGTTTAATCCTTTTTGTAGTAGTTGTTGTTCCATTTTTGATAGTGGTTGTTTTGATAGGTTGACTACGCAGTCTATGGGCGTATTGTCTGGTTGTTGTTTTCTAATCTTGGCTAGCTTGGTTTTGAGGACTCTTCGTCTTTGTTCTCTGTGTTTTTCACTTGACAGTGAAATTGCGGTGATCAGCGTTGACAGGTGTTCTTGGTTGAGGGTTTTCTCTAATTTTGCTTTTTGGACATCTATTATTTGTTGATATTTGTTGATCCGATAATGTGCGTCCGTAATCATTAATTTGACCATTCGTCTTCCACATTGTTCGGCCAATTTCCATCCCATTGGGCAGTTGACTGGTGGCTTGTATCTTACACTGTTTGGTAGGATTGAATGACGAAGGCACTCATGGAGAAAGAATAATTGTTCTCTGGTGGATCCTTGCCTTTTGGCGAAGTCTTCCCACTTTCGAACAGAGAGAAGCGTATCCCGCTCGTAAGATTTAGATATGATAGAGAAGATTTGTAGCTCAGGTGGATAATTTTGATGTGGTTTTGTTCTCTGAGCTGGATAGTTAGTTTGCGAAGCTTTCATCACCTTACTGGGTGACATCTTCAGCGCATACTTCAAATTGAAGTGAGCTTTTAGGTTTCTCCACGAGTTTATTAATCATTCCTCCTGGTGACCTTGGACGTGATTGGTTGTTTATGTATGTTTTCACACCTTCTAGGTTACTTGTGTTGGAACTGATTGTTTCTGTGACTTGAACTTTGGCCAATCGTGTGTGAAGTTTCTTTCTTATTGGTTGATAAATTTTGTCTATCTCGATGTGTCTATTGATTGATGATTCACTGGAATGCCAAGCTTCTAAAAATTCTCTAGCATTCTTGTTATTTCCTTTGTCTAATATTTGAACGTTGTCCCAGTCGAATTGATGTCCGTGGTTGTCTGTGTGTAGTGAAATGAGGGAGTGATATCATGTCTTTTGACGGCTAGCTTATGTTCGTGGATACGAAGACGAAGGGGACGTCCACTTTGGCCAATGTAGTGTTTTTCACAGTTGTTACAGTTACATCATCTACAAAATAAACTGTAACAACTGTGAAAAACACTACATTGGCCAAAGTGGACGTCCCCTTCGTCTTCGTATCCACGAACATAAGCTAGCCGTCAAAAGACATGATATGCACTCCCTCATTTCACTACACACAGACAACCACGGACATCAATTCGACTGGGACAACGTTCAAATATTAGACAAAGGAAATAACAAGAATGCTAGAGAATTTTTAGAAGCTTGGCATTCCAGTGAATCATCAATCAATAGACACATCGAGATAGACAAAATTTATCAACCAATAAGAAAGAAACTTCACACACGATTGGCCAAAGTTCAAGTCACAGAAACAATCAGTTCCAACACAAGTAACCTAGAAGGTGTGAAAACATACATAAACAACCAATCACGTCCAAGGTCACCAGGAGGAATGATTAATAAACTCGGGGAGAAACCTAAAAGCTCACTTCAATTTGAAGTATGCGCTGAAGATGTCACCCAGTAAGGTGATGAAAGCTTCGCAAACTAACTATCCAGCTCAGAGAACAAAACCACATCAAAATTATCCACCTGAGCTACAAATCTTCTCTATCATATCTAATAACTGAATAATTTAGCTAAGTAGCTGCAAATCATGCATATGGAACAGTAATCTACCTATCAATCTCGTCAAATCACCTGTTTTTCCGATTCCTACTTCATTCTCTGTCACAATTAATTTTTTCAATGCTAACCTGTACATCACTTCACGTTCACCTTCTTATCTGATATCATTAATTTATCTATTTTTCTCAAGGCTGGCCTGCCAAGATAAAAATAATGGATCTTCACAGCATTGAATTCAACCTTAGAGGTAATTTGTATATTTAGTCAATAAGTTTATGATTTGACTGTGAGAAAGTAAAGTCTGAATTTTTTATACACCATCAACATAGAGATCTCTTCAGGTTCTTGCCAATCTACATTCAAACTTGTTATCAAGAGTGATAAAAGCCAAGTACAAGATGAAAATGTTGTCAGTTTGTTTCTTCAGTGTGATGCATATTCACATGGTAGTGGATAGACGATTCAGTGTTGTAGGGCTCGTTAACTACACATATGTTGTGGTATTCGATTTCCAGCCAATGCGTTACTAGATCTCACTCAGTCTCTCAGCTGACAGTAAGCCTGAGAATCATGGAGAGCTAAGTACAAGTTTAAAGACATCAACTTTAGAAAATAATATGACTGTTAAAAATTCGAGCGTGCAAGCTTGCAGCTCCATTTTCCACCCGACATATATATATATATATATATATATATATATATATATATATATATATATATATATATATATATGCATATGATACTAATTACCTGATAACAACTTCTGCTCAGTTCATTGCTCACATAAAATATACAAAAGTCAAATACTCTCTTGACCTACTTCAGTTTAGTGGATCTGAACATTGAGGCTAGTTAATTGGAACCAAAGTGTAGGAAACCGTGAATCTCTGATATTCACATGATATTACGTGTTACCATCCAACAGGAGATGAGTATTCGTCTGAGGAGGTCGGTGGTTATGCGTCTGACTAAACAATATGACTTCATTTCAAATGTAAGTGTGGGGGAGGGAAAACAGCTATTTCATGGATCTGGTTACGTTTTGCAGACGAGTGTTCATACGAGTGAACCCTAGATTCATGATTTAATGCGAACCGACTCCAAGTGTCTAGGCTCTTCAAAGACAATTTTCCCCATGAATGAAATTTGAGTGATTCTTTGCCAACTATTTTCAAAAAATCGTCTTTATTGATTTCAATTTTTGATTTTCCCGTCGATTGATTGGACCGAAGTGGCCCAAGTGGTCTAGTGGATAACGCTTTGGCGTTTGAAACTATGGGCACTGGGTTCGAGCCTCGGTGGGAGCATCATCACTCACTGAGAAATGCAGGTACACCCAGCTGACGAGTCCCAATTAGGACGAAATGCGCATCCTGGATTCCACTGCTAGCCGCCATCCACCAATTGTATAAAAATCGTCTTTGTTTACTTTGAAGTTACTTACAGAACACGGTCATTGTCCTGACAGTAATTACTTTTTTGAAGTTGTACCTAAACAGCAAACTGAATCAACTGCAATAATTACACAATGTATATTTGTTTTCTTGAATCTTTTCTTGACAGGTCGTTGTATTTATGCCTCCTTTCCATCTGGTAAGCCGCACTCTGAATATATATGTATGCATTTAAACATATATATATATATATATATATATATATATATATATATATATATATATATATATATATAAGCGCCTATTTATTAGTTATCCCTCCGTGCAAGATGATCATTTCAGTATCATCACCATCTTCATTGTAATGTGAAGACGTATGATGATGATAATGAAATGAAGAGTTTCGGCAACGGAAGAATTTTATCTACTGACCTCTGAAATACTATTACTACAATTTATTAATATTGTTTACTTGGTTTCCGAATGGAACATAGGCTTTCAAAAGTACATTTATGTTTTGTCCTGTTTTCTGCAGTCCTATTCAACTGATCCGATGGTTCTCGATAGACTTCCATTAGCTGATCACAAGATCCCATTCACTCCACCTCACGCAAACATTCGCCAGACTCATCAGTCTACATTTAAGTTCCACTCGAGCCATAATATGGAGCAGAATGTGTCACAGCGGTCCCTTCAGCATGCATCTGATGCATCTACACTCGCTTCAGAATTTTTTTTGACGAATAGATCCTTGTTTGGGCCGTCCACAGAGTTCCTTGTCACTGATTTTCTATGGATGTTTAACATTCACTATCGAAACTGAACAACTCTTTATGGAAGCCTCTAATGGTCTGTTAAAATGATATGTTGCCCAAGATTATGATCCATATAGGAGATGTGATCTGATAATGAGGTTGAAAATATGAAATCTGTTCTTTGTGCTGAGTACGTTGGATCCTCACATTACTCTCAGAATGACTAGGGTTGATGGTGGTGGCCACATTGTAAACCTGACTGATAGAATTTAGTCTGCACTAAAGAATGGACTAGACATGTCACACTAGTTAGTAGTGTCCAATCAAACTACCCACTACAATCCTACCAGAGGTCAGTCGCAAGCCCAAAGAGCTCAGTGGTAACGTCTCTGACTGCAACACTAGCTGACGTGGGCTCGAGTCTCAGAAGGGAGATGAGTTCCTTCAAGGTTGCAGATACGCCTTGCTGACGACTACCAACTCGCATGAAACCTAGGTCCAAGGCTCCCTGCCTCTAACTATCCAATATCATGACTAGGGTTTGTCTGCTTCTTCTCCGTCTTTACACTGTTCAGCTGAAACCCTGTCGCCGCTGTCTTCTTCTTCTGCTCGTTCGTTGGTTTTCGCCTTCAAGTCTATTAGTTTATGTAACATCAAACATGAATATCTCTTGGGATCTTTTTATCAGTCTAATTTATTGTTGTCCTCTCGTTCTCCGTTCGCTGTGTTTTGCACAATCCAGTCCGCCAAGACTTAGAATAACGCCAGTGATTTTAATGTCTCTGTCGCTGTCTGGATTCAACATAGAACTTGGCACTGAAGTGCAGCAGTTCCAGTTGCCACGTTCCAATTGGCACACAAGGTAGACAAGAAGATGAGTGAAGAGAATCAATAGAGTTTGACAAATATAAGAGTGAAACAGAATGGGTAATTGTAGAAAGGAATATGAAAGATTACACAGACTGAATACATCTGCGCCACTGACAACGATTTTGAGCCATGTCACCTACTGTCTCCAGCCATTGATTCCTAGAGTCACGAGGGCCCCAACCCGGGAGTCTGCATCTCCCTACCTACCTTACTCAGTTTAACTGTCAAGGATTTCATGGATTGATGCCATGTTTTTGTTTGGCCACCACTGGCTCTTTTCCAACCTGAACCTATATCAGCTAGCAAAGCCCGTCGGGGGAGGCGATGATTTTAATATCCTTGTATCAATCCTATTCCCACTTGAAGCTCTTCACTGAGTATTGATATCTAACACTTGGCACTGTCATTCAGCTGTTGAATAGTATTAAATGGGATTTGAGCCATGGCTTAGTATTGAAACGGCTTGCATACTGTTTTCCTGAACGCTTCTTTATGTAAGCGACCGCTTCTTTAGCAAAGTTATTTTGATTCGTTTCAATATCAAAATTCATGATTAGAAAATTATATAAATTGAAGAGAATTCTAACGTTGATTTGCGGCGACTTGATTGGTTGCAGAATTTCATCATTATCTGACATCTGTAAATGAACCGTTAGGAAACCTGAGACTATTTGAAAGCTTTTTCGTTCCAGTTCATAACTATTCAGCAGTCACACTCATCACGGGGATTCGAATTCAGAATCTTCAGGTCATACTTATGTCACAGACTAAAATGAAGCACAATAGATGAGAACGAATAAAATAATATAGTACTAAGTTTTGACATCCATAAACATATTATCATGTCTTTCAGATAAGTAAAACGTGTTTTCCACATAAGGAAACATGCATATAGACAACAGTGCACATATGACGATTCGCCGTTAGACATTAGAAGTATGTAGTGTCTGTATCCTTCCTGCTAGTGGTACAGGCGTCTACTGAAAGGTGACTGTCAAATATATTTGCTCCAATTTGTGTAATTTGTTGGCTAAACATTTTGATGGGATTTTGATCGAATCGCAGTAGCTCTGCCGAAACTTTCAGAAAAGTCTTTTTGCTTATTTTTCCTAAACATTCTTCGATTATCACAAGTAATTTTTACGCATTCAGTATGACTCAGCTCTCCCAGCAGACGAGGCTGTTCGCACTGAAGTGTCAACAGTGTAATTAAACCATATTCTTTACACGAATTTATCTGATTCCTCTAATCTTTAGTGTAATTTTTATTTATCTTTCAACTATCCCTAAAGCAAAAGTACTCTTAAATTCGCACTAACCTGTCCTCAGCAAAAGCCTAAACTTATTCATTCAAGAACCTAATCTAAAACTTACCTCACATCATGTTTTCAATGTGCATATTTATTCACGATCACAACTGTATTTACCTAGTCTCACTAGCTTGCTCACTGAATGTTCCAAAGTCATCGTACTCTCTTTGTCTCTCCCTCTCTCTCTCTTTCTAACGGTGACTAAAGAAGTCTAATTTGGTCTGATTACTTTTATGGGTCGGTGGCATAGCGGTTAGGACACTCGCCGACCATCCACATAGTTTCGGGGTTCAGTCCTCGGCCACGGACGCACTCCTTTACCTCGCTAAGCCAGAAATAATTCTGGTAAAGAGGAAAGGTTAGGCATGAGCCTGGCAATCCTATCCTTTAAAAATAAAAACCACTGCTACAGAAACTTCAAGCCAAAAGCTTGGAGCCCTATGTTCCACTGGGGAATGTCAAGGAAAAATAATAATAAAAAATAATAAAATTTTATACAGATTAGTTATGAACGCGATCATTTTTTTATGTTAACAGCTCTTATACTCTTGATTTCAACTTAGTTGAACTTAATCATATTTAACTTTTCAGGCTGAGATGACGTTCTCTATCAATCAAAGACAATTGTTCACCTTTCATATTCATACTAAATGAAAGATCATTGATGAAGCAAAGAAAACGGAAAAAATAAATGTTCTGAGTACAATTTCACGTAGTTTAGTTAATAAATTTTAAAATTATTTACTAAATTTGACTTCTAATGGAATCAATGGCTCACATCAAAATTAGAAATTTTAGAAATCATTCATTGGTACAATGATTACATAATGAAGACATAGGTCTTGGTGTTCACAACTAAAAGTTAAATCAATTTATTTGTTTTCGAGTGTTTGTTTGTAGGCATTTGGTTTCATTTCGAGCTTTCATCATGAATTGATATCCCTCAAATAATCATTCTAAACCAGCTAGGACTACCGTTAAGCTGTTTCGTTAGCCTACCTCGTGGCTATTCAGCAGTAGCCACTCACTATCAGAGTTCGTATTCAGGACTTTTCGGGGGCAAGGAAAGCTGGCTTGTTAAACATTCAACCACTGGTATCTAACTCAGTGGTTACTGAAAGAATTATCATTTTCCCCACCGCCGAATCGTGATTTTAGCGCTTCCAGCAAACAGTCATTGTGATTCATCGAGAGCAGTTTTCCTCACTTCTGATTGGGTGGACCATAGTATCGGTTGTGACTTCTCATTAGAACTCTTTCATCGGTAAAATCAATATTCTGCACTAAGTCTACAAAGAAGTATTTTTACACAGAATGCATTGTACTTTTATTCATATTCTTTTATCTTATTCTAAATGGTACACAGTCGAATCACGTGTGCCTTGCCTGTTAATGGCCACCAAAGCCGATAGGCAAACATTCAATGTTCATTATCCCTGACACATGGTGCTGAGAATCAGACAATGTGGATTTAGACCATTTGATACAGGTGTCTGTTGCCTTCAGTACTAAACAGCTAGCTGACTAGGTGACATACTATTCGCCTTATCGACAATCTCTAATAGCTTTCGCAATATGACACAGCCCTTTTTGAGTACCTCAATAAATACTAAGTGAGGGAAACAACGAACAATGGGTAAGGTTCAAGAGTTAATAAATTGTTAAAGTAGCGGTCGAGTGATTTCTGATTGTCTCAATTTCCCAATGTAATTGGTTAATGGGAACCTTTCCTTAGAAATCGAAAAGATATGTGAATAATGACTAAGTAGAGTGAGAGGATGGAATTATTTCAAGGTTCATCATGTTTGCCTTAGTTTCAGTTCCAGTGCCCTATGTGTTACAAGCATTCTGGTGAACGAACTAGTCCGCGTAGATCCCATTTATGCCCGAAGGTTAGGTTAAATGTGTGATGTTTGGAAGGGTCCATCGCAGTGCAATTTCGCTTAGACCAGTGGACAATGTTCAGTGCAAAGCTGCTCAGTTTGAAATCCACAGATTGAAACGTAACTGACTATAAGACAATCAGATCATCCACGAAATAAACGAAGTTCGTTTCGTCTGATGAGGCAAGTCACGTGAAAACACTTGGGTGAGAAGCGAAGAAAGAACTGTATCTTGAGGTCAACTATCTTCACCAAGCAACCCAGAGGAAGATTTTTCCTTGTATATGGTATGGTGTATTCTGTTTTAGACATATGAATTCAACAAATTGACAGCTAAGTCTTTAGTTTCTGTTAGAGAAAGTTTATTTAACAGAAGACATCTGAATACACAGTGGAAAGCGGATGTGTAGTCTAGGGAGGTACGTCGAACAAGTTTTACTCTTTTTTCTAATCAGGAAGCAATATTATAATGTAGAAAAGCAGCAATGCCAGCAGCATTAAAAAGCTACTCTATCGCTTTTAGGCAAGCTTTCTGTAGTCATCAGTACCTTTTAAAGAAGGTTCAAGTTTAAGTGTATGTATTTACCCGTAAATTTAAAGCAAGAGATACAATTGTTATAGGCCTAAATTTAGCATTCGCACCAGAACATCATTTGTGTACCGAGAGAAATTTAATATCTTTCCATTCTACGCATCCTGATGCATCATCAGAATACCTAAAAACAAGGATGAATGATCGAAAGTGTAACTAGAGGGAATTTTAGGGGGGGAGAGAAGAGTTTAGTAAGCCAAGACTAAGGTTGTGTGTGTGTGGCTGCTGAGGAGATTAAGGAAAAAAGCCCAATCAAGATATCTTCTTGGTGAAACAGCATGCAGACAAGTATCAAAATAAAACGTATTACGTGAATAGAGTTAAGAGAAAGAGGTAATTCAAGTGTTGGTTTCCAGGGATTGGACTGATTTCAGGATGTGATCATTAACTAACATCAACTAGAGCATCAGTGGAAAACTTCTGGGTATTCATCACATGTTTCGTCCTCGTCCAGGACTTTTCATCATATAATACTCACTGAGGTTCGAACCCGGGACCTTCTGTTTACAAGGCTAGCCCGTAAAACTTTAAATCTCTGGGACCGCATCCAATGGTCTATGAATTCCAACTTCTGTCAATTCATGGTATGGCGCGACCAGTTGGCGAATACATTTGGCGAGTATTCTTCCTCAAACCCAGCCTGCCATGACTTCCCAGTAGAACATCAGGCCACAACCTACATGAAAAGGACTAATCACTAGTGTTAGCATTGGATTTCACCGGTTTCAGGATATCATCATGAGCTCTTCAGTACTCCAATGGTATTCAATGTTCCTCTAACGGATTTTGAAACACACAATAGTATCAATAAAAAAATTATTGATAACAGTTGACGATAGAATCACACCCAAGATAGGTCGAAAAGTTCACGCTGTGTTCATAAACCATAGCTTTTGATCTGAATCATTGATGTCTCAGCAATTCAAAGTATAAAATGATATATGATATAAATGGTATGTTCAAGAGGATGAGTGCAAAAAGTGAGTGTGAAATAACGACATCGACAAACAAATGGGCAAGCATAGAAATTCAGTATGTAAAAATTGAAAATAAAGTAGTCTAAATTGAATGATCCTCAGTGAAGGAATGGAGGACGGTGAAGTTCCTACTAGTTACATAAACCAGGTTATCGATTCGGATCACAAATGCTTCAGCAGTATATATTCCAAGGTAGCTTACCATTTTACGTAGGCTTGATTGACACAGTAGATGACTTTGTTTGAATTAAGAACACAATATTCAGCGAAGAGACTCTTTCCAACAATGAATTTATTATCAAGCTGTACAATAGTGTATATACGGTTTTATAAAGAAATTATATCCGGTGAGGGAATTAGGTCAAAGGTGTGAATACATGAAATAATAATAGCATGAAATGCAATCAAAATACTTTTGATTATAATCATAGTTCAATGTCAAGTGGCAAAATAATTAATGCCATATATAGAATAATACATAAGGTGTATAGATTTTCGAAAGAGCTACATAATTATAAGATTAGTCAATGAATATATAATGTTACATAACATGGTGTGAAATTTGACAGGATAGAATTCAATATTGTTCAGTTCACTTTCACTAATGAGATCTATAGACAGAGAGATGGCATTGCCATGGGATGTCTTGTTTGCTTTCAACAACTGCCATCCTTGTTTACAATTTAACATAGAAAAGGAATCTGAACTAAGTATTCTGTTTCTTGATGTGTTCCTTAGCAGACGTAATAACGGATCTCTGAAAAGATCTACCCTTCGGAAACGTACATAGAACGGACAACTAACTAATTTTTACAGCTGGGTGCCTATTTCCAGGAAAAGAAAGTTAATTCATTCACTCTGCATTAGGATAAGGAAAATTTGTAGTTCTGATTGCGTCGACTCAGAACTTGACTTCCTGAAAGCCACGCTAGGGGAAAACGGTTACCCTAATCGATTTATTGACAGCAACATGAAAGATAAGCAGTTCAAACTGGTCGCCGACTCAGTTCCGAAGAAAACCTTATTCATGAACTTGGAATTCAAAGGTGAACAAGCTTCAGATGTG